CGTCGCGAAAATAAAAACCCACGAATTCCAAAGTATGTGCAAAATGTAGAGCTCATCCAGATTTAACGTCCGTGGAAGAATCCAAGCTCGTGGCTCAACGCCTTCATGGTTAAAATCCGGTTTATATGACGGGGAACCGCATAACGTCGCGAAAATAAAAACCAACGAATTCCAAAGTATGTGCAAAATGTCGAGCTCATCCAGATCTAACGTCCGTGGAAGAATCCAAGCTCGTGGCTCTTTAACTTCATGGTTAAAATCCGGTTTAAATGACGGGGAACCGCATAACGTCGCGAAAATAAAAACCCACGAATTCCAAAGTATAGGCAAAATGTAGAGCTCATCCAGATCTAACGTCCGTGGAAGAATCCAAGCTCGTGGCTCTTTAACTTAATGGTTAAAATCCGGTTTAAATGACGGGGATCCGCATAACGTCGCGAAAATAAAAACCCATCAAAACCCAGTTAAACCCAAATAAAAACCGATAAAAACCCATTTTGCACATACTTTGGAATTCGTCGGTTTTTATTTTCGCGACGTTATGCGGTTCCCCGTCATTTAAACCGGATTTTAACCATGAAGTTAAAGAGCCACGAGCTTGGATTCTTCCACGGACGTTAGATCTGGATGAGCTCTACATTTTGCACATACTTTGGAATTAGTTAGTTCTTATTTTCGCGACGTTATGCGGTTCCCCGTCATATAAACCGGATTTTAACCATGAAGGCGTTGAGCCACGAGCTTGGATTCTTCCACGGACGTTAGATCTGGATGCGCTCTACATTTTCCACATACTTTGGAATTCGTGGGTTTTTATTTTCGCGACGTTATGCGGTTCCCCAACATTTAAACCGGATTTTAACCATGAAGTTAAAGAGCCACGAGCTTCGATTCTGCCACGGACGTTAGATCTGGATGAGCTCTACATTTTGCACATACTTTGGAATTCGTGGGTTTTTATTTTCGCGACGTTATGCGGTTCCCCGTCATTTAAACCGGATTTTAACCATTAAGGCGATGAGCCACGAGCTTGGATTCTTCCACGGACGTTAGATCTGGGTGAGCTCTACATTTTGCATATACTTTGGAATTCGTGGGTTTTTATTTTCGCGACGTTATGCGGTTCCCCGTCATTTAAACCAGATATTAACCATGAAGTTAAAGAACCACGAACTTGGTTTCTTCCACGGACGTTAGATCTGGATAAGCTCTACATTTTGCACATACTTTGGAATTCGTGGGTTTTTATTTTCGCGACGTTATGCGGTTCCCCGTCATTTAAACCAGATATTAACCATGAAGTTAAAGAGCCACGAACTTGGATTCTTCCACGGACGTTAGATTTCGATGAGCTCTACATTTTGCACATACTTTGGAATTCGTGGGTTTTTATTTTCGCAACGTTATGCGGTTCCCCGTCATTTAAACCGGATTTTAACCATGAAGTTAAAGAGCCACGAGCTTGGATTCTGCCACGGACGTTAGATCTGGATGAGCTCTACATTTTGCACATACTTTGGAATTCGTGGGTTTTTATTTTCGCGACGTTATGCGGTTCCCCGTCATTTAAACCGGATTTTAACCATGAAGTTAAAGAGCCACGAGCTTGGATTCTTCCACGGACGTTAGATCTCGATGAGCTCTACATTTTGCACATACTTTGGAATTCGTGGGTTTTTATTTTCGCGACGTTATGCGGTTCCCCGTCATTTAAACCGGATTTTAACCATTAAGTTAAAGAGCCACGAGCTTGGATTCTTCCACGGACGTTAGATCTGGATGAGCTGTACATTTTGCATATACTTTGGAATTCGCGGGTTTTTATTTTCGCGACGTTATGCGGTTCCCCGTCATTTAAACCAGATTTTAACCATGAAGATCAGCTCAAAAGTTAGAATAAATGTCATATTCGTGTTCAGCATGGTCAACTTAACCCATGCCATGAATCTGAAGTGATTTGGAATTCGTCGCTGAATACGTATACGTATACGTCGCTAAGTTCACGGACATTGTTCGAGGCCCTTGTCAGTCACCATGAGGAAATGAAGTACCTATCTAAGAGGGTTGATGAAAAGAAAAGAAGGCCCCCCTCTTCTTCTGAAGCCTGAAGGCTGAAAAGGCCCCTTATCTGGCCGGGTGAAACTTACATTTTTTCGTGATATGCACTATAAAATGGCCCGCTGCCAGAAGGTTCCCTTGGTGTGAGGCCCCGGGGAGTTCTGCCCCCCCCCCCCGGACAAAATCCGTGGCACCGCGCCTGATGGGGTGGCAGGCGGACGGACAGTCCCGTTGGTGTTGATTCACCGCGTCAATCCCTGCCCAACTGAGCCTCAGCGGGCCACATCACTGGGATGGTTGCACGCGCCCCACCCGGCTGGGCGCGATTCCAGCGCGTCGCGCCGCTCGACGACAGTCAATACCAGCGCGTCGGCCGAACTCCGTGCGAGCATCCGAGCGCCCCTGAGACAGAAAAAAAAACACCCTTCCCGAACCCGTCTTTTCGTCGCCTTGCTTCCATCCGTGCGTTGGCGCTGTAGGTTAGGACTATTCATTTCAAGGAGCACACTTTTCTTGTCAGGTTGCCGGACTGTTCAACCGGCTAGCGCCATTGCGTGCGGAGGGATAAGTGGGTCTGATCTGGGTCCAATCGTGAGTCTAGCGGAGGGAAGTTGGGTGGGCGGCACACATCACGCATTGTGCGTCACATCCGTTGTTGGCGCCAGACGCGTCATCGCGTCTCGCTGAGCAACGGAAAGGAGTTCTCGGGATGGGTCCTTCTGACGATGCTGTCTGGCCGCCTGTCCATTTGTCAACCACCTGTCTGCTTATCGTGCGTCCGTCTGTCTCTCCGTGTGTCCTCGGGTCCTCCTCCCCAATCGGCGTGGACGGCCGACCTTCAGATCCCTCCCTGGTCCTTGCGGAGAGATAATCACCCGTCGCTGGTCCCGGTGAAAGGTGCGGCTACACCCGTCCATCCCGGCCCGGACGGGGACCCTGTCAATAACCCGCCTATCACGGACGGCAGCTTTCAGAGCGGCGCAGAGTCCCGAGCCCACCGCGCACAAACAGCGCGGCCGAGCCGCTAAAAGATGCCGCGGCTAAACCGTGAATAACACTGCGGCCCATCGAGAGGTGCGCGTTTTTACTCAATGGAGCTTTCGTCTGTTTGCGATTTTGAAAACAGGCATTGCTGGAGTAAATGCGCTTCACAGTTATCCAAGTCTTCCACCATAGTGAAAGACTTAGTGGCAGCATGGTGGCAGTAAAGAAGCAGCCATAATTACGGAGCGAGCGAAGCGAGCGTAGTCTTTCCTTAGATTAACGGAAATTTCTGAGTATGAGCGGCCGGCCGTGGTCACGCTTTTGCGAGGCTTATATCTCAGCAACCACTTGACCGATTTACATGCGGTAATTTTTGTAGGGTAGCTTCATTCCTTCTACCAAGTATTGCACTATTCCCGATGCATGTGGGTGACCCCTTATGCACGTGCCACGTGCAAAACGAAGAGGTGTCACTTTTGCAATTGTTGCAATATCTCGGTAACTACTGGGCCGATTGCGCTGAGAGTTGGCATGTAGGTAGGCACCCACTAGGCAATGCATATCCATGTGCCAGAGTTGGGGTGCTGCTGCACGTGCGCACGTGCAGGGGTCGTTTCCAGATCTCGAGAACGGCTGGACCGATGGCGCTCAAATTTGGTACACGGTTAGGGACCAGTTAGTAGGGTGCCGTGCACAAGTCAGTTGGGACCCTTTCTGCACGTGCGCACGTGCAGGGTGCCGCTTCCAGATCTCGAGAACGGCTGGGCCGATTGTGCTCAAATTTGGCACATCGCTAGAGACCGGTTAGTAGGGTGCCGTGCACAAGTCAGTTGAAGGTACCCCCTCGAAATTTCGCACGTGCAAGGCTCACCCTCTCGCTCGCTCCGTTAGTCGCCCCAAAAGGCGCTATACTGGTTGCTACGGACGTCTCTGTATGCCTGATAATTTTATCGGCATTATTCAAATACATTTCTATGTTTCGATGAGTCAATTTTTAAGCATGTTTGGAAAAGAGGGATGTCATTGGCAATGCATTTAGATTGAAACCTAAATTAGACTAAGCTTATTGAAACAAAATTTAAATATCCGGACATATTATATAGCCATCGCCCCTCATTGTAGTGTCATCGTGTTCATGATTAACTGGTTTAGGTGATGATAGTCGATCCGACATTGATATCTGTTTTGGTTTTGTTGGGTAATACGTGGCTAGAATTCCGGTCTATTGAGACCGTTTTAGGGCCATGAAACGAGAGAAAAAGTTAAAGACATTGGACAGAGTGTAGCACCAAACACCAGGCACCGCCACTTCCGTGAAACCTGACACCGGTCGGCTACCGCCGGTTACCGAATACCGGTCGTCTGAGCCTTACATACATACCTCTCCCTAACCCCCGCACGGGATCAGCCAGTCATGGGGCAATAACCGCCGCGGAGGATCCCAGCTCCGCCCGCCGTCCGCCGAGCCGTCACCCGCCGCCAAGCCGACTTTGTGCGGCCGAGTGCACCGCACCGGATCAAGACAGGATGCCGGGCAGTGGGGGCTGACGAGGCAGCCTGGACTTGGTGACGATCGTCCCTTCAGGTTCCACGTGGCCGGTCTCTCAGCGGCGCCACTGGACGTGTCCATTGTGACAATAAGGACGCTCATAAGGCAATCGGCGCAAGAAGGAAGTGGCCGGTAAGTTTTAACTTAAAATCCACCCGTTCAGGCAAGGGGATGTGGGTCTACCGTCATCCGCTCGGCAACCGTATTTGTTCGATCATGAACCGGTAGCTCTTTGAGATCCCTCAGAATCCGTACCTTTCCAGTCATTTTCCGGCAGCTCTATGGTGACAGCTCGGCACCTTTGTCAATCGAGCTCGGAAGTGGAAGCTCTGAAGTCTGAGCACTACCCGAACCATCCCAATTCGTGTGACTTCTGGTCTCCCACCACACCTCATTTTACACAGAACGATCAACTCGACACTGGCACATATATTATGGGAGTAAACACACCACGCGCAGTCCAATACACTGTCCGGTGCGCCCTCCTGGCCAGTGGTACCGCGCACACCGATTGGGGGCGACACCTCCCCTCCCCCCTCATACAATCCTGACGACTAATGGCCGACGACTTCGCACGTCTTGGTCGACGATATGCTCACAGCAGAGAAATGAATAAGCACAACGATGACGATAAACACATAATGCCGACGACGATAAACACATAATGCATCACTGGACGTAGCTATACGCGGTTAACAAAATATCACAATCGGCCGCAGTGTGTTGCCCGTAGTCACACATACATATTTGTGCAAACACATGGGAGCTGGCAGGAGACGGCAGGGCCCTAGCGGCCCAACCCAATCAGTAGCGTGCCTGAGATCCACGGGGCGTCGATGACGACTGAATACACGGAAACAAGTTAGCCAGGATTCGTTGTCTACTCTCCCAAGAATGCCGCGTCGGGAGCCGAAAACGCTCGATACCAAGCAGTTCGGGGTGTTGACTGAGAGTTTCCTAGTTCACTGCCCATAGGTTCTTGTATCGCGGCGATGACTATCAGAGAATTGCAGCAGTTCCTGCGTTAGACGAGCACCAATACACCAACTGGCGGCAGCCGCAATAAGTAAAGGTCGAGTTACACCACTCGGCTGACTCGGGTTACAACGCTTCCATAATGCCATATTCATCGCACATGTTAAATACGTGACTGCATATCCGTACAAGAGTCGAACTCTCGGCGACAAGCTTACACCAAATGTCAATATCCATGCACCCCAGCCAGCCCAGACCAAGCATCAACCACAAGCGTGAAAAAATGAAAACTGAATGATCAAACGTCCAGATCGACCGAGACTCTCCAAAAAAGTCGTCAATGTTAACAAGGCTGGGAATTGGCAGGGGCGGTGACACAAGACTCGCAATAACTGTGCTCCTCCACGCCAGTTTAGTGACCAGGAATACTGATAGGGTGAACTTGGAGTCCACCCGAGATGGAATATCACGTCGTCCGTGAGGAGCGGTGGCCGGTCAGCTCACTCAGTCTTTATATCTGGCCTGTCAACTGCCGGTCTTACGGTTACCCCCGCTGTCTCATACAATACCTACCTCCGACAGTCCTGGTGCGGCTCTAAGTACTGGCCGACCTTTACATCCCAGCCCCGACGCTAGTATGACACAGGCCTTCAGGAGACACCTGATGCGCTCAGTCCAGCGATGGAGTTGCATCTCTCAAGACTGACCTGAGGGACGACACGCTCCCAGAGAGACGGGGACACATCCCACTCTCCCTGACCTTCCCAGTGGACAGTGTCCCATCGATCATGGACAGGACGCCGCCGCTACCGCCTCTCCCGGCTGGGCCTCGAACCTGGGCCGGGCCGGCCGGGTCTCACTGGCGGCAGGGTCTGTGGCGGCGGGGGCCGCGGACTGACCGGGGACGGTCTCGGCAGCTGCAGCGGCATCCTCAGCGGGCTCGGCGGGCGGCGCAGTCTCCTCCGGGGTGGCCAGTGAGCTCCACCAGCTGGTGAGAGCGCCACGCGCCACCGTCAGAGCGCCGCCTGTGGGAGGACGCACACGGGTCAGTGCAGGGAAACGACGGCGCAGGCTGGTCCACCCACGGAGTGTTATCCCCAGTGTTGGTGGGTTTGTCAACACCGCCACCCAGCGTACACACAATAGTGTGAACGTCGCACTACGGCGCACTACTACTACTACGATCTACAGTCGCCACACTGCTGAGGCAAGGATGTAATACACCATTCTAATTATCAGAATTATTCCGCGAACCATCCGGGAGCCTATCACACCAATCCCTCTTGACACCGTGCAGCGTTCCGTGGTCCCAGCGCCAAACAAACAGTCGGATCAGACGGTACACAGAGCCACTAAATTAGCACGTCACCCCTCGTACTCTGACGCCACAGACGAACAAAGGGCCATTCTGGGACCGACAATGGAGCTGAATACACGGCGTTTGGACAGGGAGTTACAGCCCCGGTCTCAACAGTCAGGATGGACTTACGGTCTTTAGAATTCGCTCTCCCTCACAAAAGCACACGTTACATACCGACACACAAATACACATTTAACAGCCTAGTGAACACAAACATCCACACTCGGATCTCCAGTCAGACGAGAACAGAGAATCTCAGACTTCCGATAAGTGTGTGTTGCTTACAACATCGGCAATAACTCTGATTTTGATTCGCATTGCGATTGAGTCCTAACGAAAAGTCCCCAATCGGCTAACCATGCACGACCACAGGCTGGTCAGATTTACAATGGGTATGGCTAATAGGACGGTTCTCGCATAAAGGAAGTCTCCCAGGAAAAGTCCCAAACAGAGGCAAACCATTCAAATGTTTCAGCACGACCTTTGGAGACGTGAGCAGAGCGCCGGCAGGGACACTCATCCCCAGTGACAGGGACCAATCCCCGCCTCAGGACCCAATTCGGAGTCCGTCCCGGAAACGGGCCCGGGTTCGGCCAGTAAGAGCCCCCGAGGGAGACGGTGGCGACATCTTAACGACCAATAAAACAAGCAATGAATGGTCTCTAAGGATGAGCTTCTGCCGAGGCCGGACACTGGGTAATGAGAGTGTAAAGCGAATCCTTCGCCACAGGTGAGCCCCCTCAGGCGGTTACGGGGTCCCGGGGATTTACCTTGACATTCCCCCCCCCCCCTAAACTTATATCCGGACCTTTCGTAAACGATCTCTTGCATCAATATGCCATTAGTCAAAGTTGTGATTTGTGATTTAGGGTGACCGGACTTCAGAGGCCATCGTCGCACCATAGTTAGTTATTTTGCTGAGCCCATCAGGATGTCCACAGTCAATAACACAAACTTGCCTGGGCCAAAGCACACTACAAGGCCCACTAGGATGTATACTCGACACAGGAACTAACTCACACTGAACAACCCTACCGCCTTAAACACAACACTGGGCGTTTGAGTGTGTGTATGCGTTGTTTTACGTACCGACGGCGCGTCCGGTCATGACGGCCACCTGGGAGACTCGGCGGCCCCGCTCAGAGCTCTGGAATGTCCTGTGAGGGAGAAAAGGCGGATTGTCAGGTTATTGATAAATGCATTGCAAAGCATGGCGTAGCGAACGTCAAACGGAGACTGTCGAAGCGATGATATAACCATTACTGGATGCAACTGTAAGGGAATGAAAGTTTGTACATGAACAAAAGGTTTATATCAAAAGCTTGGACCAAAAAGCTTATAAAACAAAGTCTGACCCGACGCTTTCTTCCGTCTTTCATCAGCGTATCACATACAACCTGAACAATGTGGATACATCGCAAAAATTGGACACAATCACATACATTTTGACGACTTCGTCGCCCTCTTTGGGCAACGAAATATTTCAGACAAATACGTGACGAATACACTCTCCCCCCCTGCTATCAGTGGTCTGACCCCGGTCCGCCCTACCACTCACTGTGATATTCAGAGTCGTGGCCCGTCACACACCCCACCCCACTGCCAGTTCGTACCGACCCGGCCCGACCCGGTCCTCACTGTGATATCCTCAATCGCATATCGGCCATATAACTGAGCTGGCCCGAGCACGGGTGGCCCATCACCCCCCCCCCCTCCCAGTCTGATCTAACCCCGGTCCTCACTGTGATATCCTCAGTCGCATGTCGGCCATACTGAGTTGACCCGAGCACGGGTGGCCCGGGTTGAGTTCGAGCACCCCCAGGTGCTGACCGTCGGCCCACTGGACGTAGCTGGGCGTCTCCTTTAGCGCCGCCATATACCAGCTGTTGTAGAGCGTGTGCTCCGCGCTGCCGTCTGTAGAGGGAAGGAGGGAAGGTAGGTCAACCGGAGGCAGATGGGCGTTACGCTGCCGAGTAGAGTGGGTTGCTACACTCAGTGGGTGGAGAGTTTAAACAATGAAATGTTCTGTGACAAAGACAGAGTGGGATGCTGGACACAGTTTGACAAGTCAATCGGACCACATTGAACAATGGGGGCGGACGTTGCATCATCGAGGCCCAACCAACCAGGCTTCTTATGGTTTATGTCAACTGTACTCACCAAACCTCCATCCCGTTATTGTGTCAAGTCACAAATAATTACCCAGAGACTAAAGAATCAGCAAAAAATAATCAACGAACCTCTCCACTACGGTGACGTAGGCAGACAACCAAGCACGTAAAAAGCATTATCGCCAAATAACGTCAAGCCCAGTCCGATACGAGTTTTCAAGTCAACTCCCGGTCAGCACATCGCTCAGCCCCATCCCATCCCTTGGTCGTCGCCACCTTGCTCACCGGGTAGCAGCGACGTCCTCAGCAGCATGTACAGGTAGAGGCGGAACACGGCTCTCAGCCAGGCGTCAGAGCCGCGCGGCGGCTGCCCGGGGGCCGCCGGCGCGCCGGTGGGGCTGTCGGAGCCACCGGCGGGGCCCGGCTCCGTGACAGCTCGCACTATGAGGTCGGCCAGTCGCAGGTCCTCCGTAGAGAGCGCCAGTTGACGACGGAGTGGCACGCTGAGCTCTACTGAGCAGGGCGCCATCTGCGGGGCAGGGAGGACTGTGGTCAGATAGGCGTCATCTGCGGACCAGCGAAAGAAAAGGGCACAATTAAAAAATATGGCAAGACCGAGTAAGTTGAACGTGACCTTATCCAGTCAAGTTAGCCATTGACAGCACAATAACAACAGCTGTGTTCTAAAACGCATTCCACTACTCGGCATTATTCAATCATACGTTCATCAGCCTCATTCCAATTTCCCTTCATTTTATGCCAGCCTCCCTCACTAACCGTAACGTAAGCGTCGACCAGATGTCGTTTGTGGCTGTATAGAACGTTGGTGGCGCCGGCCAGAAAGGTGAGCACCTCGTCGTCCGTGAGAAGGTGGATGTCCGACAGACAGAGGTACGGGTGGCACAGGTGACCCTGAAACAGACAGGTGAGCAGACTGTGAGCAGGTGGATGTCCGACAGACAGAGGTACGGGTGGCACAGGTGGCCCTGCAACAGAAAACGCCGATAGTAAGGGTCAATCAATTCGGCGCGTTTCGACGGGCGGGAAAGACATAGGCTTCCATTGTAAAGGGCAGACTGTGGCAGAATCCATCAACAAGACATAAACCTGGTAGCAATGGTCATTTGCCAAGAAAAGAAATCACAGTTATGAAGACCGGATAAACGAATCTCACTAACAGCAGATGGTTATTCTAGGCCTATTACTGCAGGCCGAAACGAAAGGGATAGAGAGTGATCGGCCGAGATTGTGATCGCGGCATTGGCCACGGATTCTAGGAGACAAAAACAACAGCGAGTGTGATAATAAAAATGCAGGTAGTAACACAAATGATTTTACAGACTTGGATGCAAGTTTTGCTTGCAATGTGTCAGTACACGGTAGCACCATGTTCCTCGCTAACAGCGCACCCATGAAAGACAAATATCCAGCCCCAGCAGGTCCCAGTATACTTCCTCACTGCACCCACCTTCCTGAACCTCCTGATGGGCATGCCGCACTGGACGTCGTCCACGCTCTGCGCCGCCGCCAGGAGCCGCTCCACGCGGGCGTCCACACTGGGCTGCTCCTGCTCCTGCTCCGTCTGCGCGGGCTCGGCGGCCCCCTCCGAGCCCAGGTAGAACGTGCTGGAGCGCGCCGCCGCCTCCTCCGCCTCCTGCGCCTCGGCCGTGTCATAGAACACGCTGGCTCGCTGCGCCTCCGGTCGGCCGGCGCGCGCCCCGCCGGCCGCCGTGCCCGCGCCGTCGCTGTGGCTGCGGTGCAGCGGGGGCTGGGTGCCGCCGGCGGCCGGGGCGGCGGCCTCACTGCGGTAGAAGGTGCTGTTACCGGTGACCAGGTCGGCGTCGGAGGCGCGCCGCAGCCCGCTGTCGGCCGCGGCGGGGGCAGAGGCGGCGGCCGGCGGGTCCTCTCTGCTCGGGGACCGGACGGCCGAGGTGCGGCGGCTGGGGGGCCGCGGCTGCAGTGCGGCGCGGCTCAGGCCGTGCTGTACCATACCGGGGAACAGAGAGGTCAGCGCCAGTACGGCCGAGCACAGCTCGCTGACCGGCGAGTGCTGCAGGAGGACGCGCCGCTCCAGCAGCGCCAGCTTGAACAGCACTAGCAGCTTGTGTCGGAACATCAGCACCAGGTCGCGCACGCTCAGACCTGACGGTGAGCACAGAGGGGAGCGGGCGGACAGTCAACTTAAGACGTCGATTTAGGAAACACTCCCAACCCAACACTCATTAATCACTATCTCCACCATGCAAACTGGTTGGTCAGTAAGTGCTCAGCTTCAATCAGCTAAGACATTTTCTCAAGAGGAAAAAAAAACAGCGGAACGTCGTTGGCTATGCACAGTGCAAGGCAACTAGCTAAACTGTATCACCAGTCATTACGAAAGATATTCATATCCCGATAATAACTCCAGCCGACGATTGCATACCAGAAGATTGTATGTGAATGCAATCGTGAAACATATTGAACCCACTTTACGGAGCACCCACGGGCTATCACCATTCACCAGCTCTTGTGCAGCCCCAACACCAGCTCACCTACGAACACCTGCGGCGTGCCGAGCATCTCCTCCGAGAGGCACTGGTTCATGTTGGTGTAGGCCTTCTTCAGCACATCCACCTGACTGAAGTCGCCCGTCTCGAAATAGGCGCTGGTGATCAGCTCCAGTTTCACCTGGAAAGAATGGCTATATCAGAGTACCGGCCACCAAAAGACTAAAACGGCACATCGACTTCAACACCCGAGTTCAGATCAAAACTGACAACTACAATCATTAGGGAACTCATGGAGAGCATGGCGAAGTGAGTTTTATCTCCAAAGAACATGTGCAATCTAACCCTGCAAAACGGTTCGTCAGCCGCGCCAGGTACCAGCTGCCGCAGACATTAATCGGTCACGAAGACTATAGTGATAATCACGAGTCGGCTATTCCATTTCCGTGACCTACGGTAAATTTCCCTGTCACGGTTTCCAGTCTACAGTGCCCGTGGCCCGTGATTGTTTCAGGAGAACCCACTGAACTCTATAATGTGGAATGCGCATCGGCCGCCAGATGGTGTCCAACGGTGCCGCCATGTTGCGCAGACCAGGAAGCGGCCGCCGCCTGTGTTGGGGAATTGGGAATTCGGGACCTCGATTTACGTTTGCGGTCGCTGCATCCGTTACGTTCAAGCTATGTGGACACGGAACCCGGCATCTTACGCAGAATTGAGTGGAGAATAAGATGAAATCCTAAAAACTTCTCAGATACAAGGAACTAATACGTTAAGCCCTTATTAGTCAATGGGGAAATATGAAAATTGCTATTTTGGCGCCGAGTCAAGCATATAAAATCATGATTTCATGCACTCCTTGCAAGGTTCTATGCTTCATATTTGCATTGTTGCCCTTGCGTGACGTCATATGTGACGTCACAAGGGTCACAGTTTTTCTTCAATAACTCCCGATCAAATTGAGCTAGCGAGTCGGGAAAGCCACCAATGGACACAGGAAGACCTGCCGAATCGAATAATATGCGACATGACCTCTTTCGACCAGCTTCGTGACCTGGGGGTGCTGACCTGACCTTGACCTGAGGTCAACACCCTAAGTTGACCTGACCCGAACAAAAAGTATATCACTCGATGCGCCTGAGCTAGCTGAACACGATGATGCCAAAATCGCGGCTCTACGGCCATTTTTGGCGAAGTTATTTACCAAAAACCGAACCCGTGCCTTAGATCACTTGACCTGACCTCAGAGGTCACCGGTTGACCCGGGACCTTTACAGTGGGTTCCTACCAGTCACTCTGCATTATCCTTTGTCGCAAACGACCAATTTACCGCTTGATTCTAGTTTAATTAGCGGCGCATTAGCGAGGTGGGTTCAATCAACCCCCTCGGCCGGGGCAAATGTAGGTCCGGCGAGTAAATTTGAGGAATTCTGAAGATACGATCGTGTTCCCCACTCAATTCTGCGTAAGATGCCGGGTTCCGTATCTACGTAACTTGAACGTAACGGATGCGGCGGCCGCAAACGTAAATCGAGGTCCCGAATTCCCTATTCCTCAACACAGGCGGCAGCCGTTTCTTGGTCTGCGCAATATGGCCGCCACCGTTAGACACTACGGCCAATAGGGTTCAAGCGGCATTGCTCCCCTGTGGGAGAACCGGACCATGCCTATCAAGAGTTTGAGGCAGGGGTGCAGAGCCGGAGCTGGAGCCGCAGCCGCCGGGGCCGGCACATTTTGCCCGGAGCCGGAGCCCCCATGACAATAATACAATTCACCCGGAGCCGGAGCCGATTTTTTCCGAAGCCGGAGCCGGAGCTGTCTGAAACTTCCACAGCTCCGCATCCCTGCGCATAGGCAATGTACTGAGTCGGAACCGGAGCGGGAGCCGCCGGAGCCGAACCATTTTACTCGGAGCCGAAGCCGGAGCCGCCATGACATTTCACCCGGAGCCGGAGCTGGAGCCGATTTTTTTTTTCTCCGGAGTCGGAGCCGGAGCCGTCTGAAATTTTCACGGCTCCGCATCCCTGGTTTGAGGAGTTTTGAAGAAGAGATTGAGGACGCGGGACCCACCTGAATCTGACCGAATAGTGGCAGGCGGCTCAGCGCGATCACAGACTTCTGCACCGATTTCCGCGTGATGTCCTCTGTCCGATTGACAACCCTCTGGAAAAGGGAGTCCCTGTTAATTCACACTCTTAACACCAGCGTTGTAGCTCAAAATTGTTAAATCAAGTCACAACGTTCATTCAACTCTCAACTGAGAGCATTCGGCTCGCAACTCGTGAGCTTATCAAACGGACCCTGCCAAATCACTAATCCCACCAACATCAGTCATTGACAAACTATTCCCTGCACTGAGTGCAGTTCCAGCCACATCGTCCCCGGCCTGAGCAGTCACATTTTGCTCTCAAAGGACTTCATTTTCCCTACATGCAAATTGCAGCTCTTGGGCGATATCAAAGCAAGCACTAAAGCTATGAACGCAAGACATTCCGCCCCTTCCCAGTCACAGAGGACTGTCCGCCGGTCCCAACACTTACATCTGCGTCGATCTGCCGGTAGCAGGAGACGCCGTAGACGGTGTCACTGCCATCTAGCGGCGGCAGGTGGAAGTACACCGTCTCCTGGTGGTAGTTGTGTGAGCCGTCCGGCATGGCAATGCTGGGCAGGTGACCCCACTCAGCCGGGCACTCATCACCCGTCGGCCACTGTGGGTGGGTGAACTCCACCTGGTGGGACAGGTGGGAGGCGTCAGACCTGGGAGAGCGGTAACCCGTCGGCCACTGCGGGTGGGTAAACTCCACCTGGTGGGACAGGTGGGAGGTGTCAGACCTGGGAGAGCGGTAACCCGTCGGCCACTGCGGGTGGGTAAACTCCACCTGGTGGGACAGGTGGGAGGTGTCAGACCTGGGAGAGCGGTAACCCGTCGGCCACTGCGGGTGGGTGAACTCCACCTGGGTGGGACAGGTGGGAGGTGTCAGACCTGGGAGAGCGGTAACCCGTCGGCCACTGCGGGTGGGTGAACTCCACCTGGTGGGACAGGTGGGAGGTGTCAGACCTGGGAGAGCGGTAGCCCGTCGGCCACTGCGGGTGGGTGAACTCCACCTGGGTGGGACAGGTGGAAGGTGTCAGACCTGGGAGAGCGGTAACCCGTCGGCCACTGCGGGTGGGTGAACTCCACCTGGTGGGACAGGTGGGAGGTGTCAGACCTGGGAGAGCGGTAACCCGTCGGCCACTGCGGGTGGGTGAACTCCACCTGGTGGGACAGGTGGGAGGTGTCAGACCTGGGAGAGCGGTAACCCGTCGGCCACTGCGGGTGGGTGAACTCCACCTGGTGGGTTGGTGGGAGGTGTCAGACCTGGGAGAGCGGTAACCCGTCGGCCACTGCGGGTGGGTTAACTTCACCTGGTGGGACAGGTGGGAGGTGTCAGACCTGGGAGAGCGGTAACCCGTCGGCCACTGTGGGTGGGTGAACTCCACCTGGTGGGACAGGTGGGAGGTGTCAGACCTGGGAGAGCGGTAACCCGTCGGCCACTGCGGGTGGGTGAACTCCACCTGGTGGGACAGGTGGGAGGTGTCAGACCTGGGAGAGCGGTAGCCCGTCGGCCACTGCGGGTGGGTGAACTCCACCTGGTGGGACAGGTGGGAGGTGTCAGACCTGGGAGAGCGGTAACCCGTCGGCCACTGTGGGTGGGTGAACTCCACCTGGTGGGACAGGTGGGAGGTGTCAGACCTGGGAGAGCGGTAGCCCGTCGGCCACTGCGGGTGGGTAAACTCCACCTGGTGGGACAGGTGGGAGGTGTCAGACCTGGGACTTGGGAGAGCGGTAACCCGTCGGCCACTGTGGGTGGGTAAACTCCACCTGGGTGGGACAGGTGGGAGGTGTCAGACCTGGGAGAGCGGTAACCCGTCGGCCACTGTGGGTGGGTAAACTCCACCTGGGTGGGACAGGTGGGAGGTGTCAGACCTGGGAGAGCGGTAACCCGTCGGCCACTGCGGGTGGGTAAACTCCACCTGGTGGGACAGGTGGGAGGTGTCAGACCTGGGAGAGCGGTAACCCGTCGGCCACTGCGGGTGGGTGGGACAGGTGGGAGGTGTCAGACCTGGGAGAGCGGTAACCCGTCGGCCACTGCGGGTGGGTGAACTCCACCTGGGTGGGACAGGTGGAAGGTGTCAGACCTGGGAGAGCGGTAGCCCGTCGGCCACTGCGGGTGGGTTAACTTCACCTGGGTGGGACAGGTGGGAGGTGTCAGACCTGGGACTTGGGAGAGCGGTAACCCGTCGGCCACTGCGGGTGGGTGAACTCCACCTGGTGGGACAGGTGGGAGGTGTCAGACCTGGGAGAGCGGTAACCCGTCGGCCACTGAGGGTGGGTGAACCCCACCTGGTGGGACAGGTGGGAGGTGTCAGACCTGGGAGAGCGGTAACCCGTCGGCCACTGCGGGTGGGTGAACTCAACCTGGGTGGGACAGGTGGGAGGTGTCAGACCTGGGAGAGCGGTAGCCCGTCGGCCACTGCGGGTGGGTTAACTTCACCTGGGTGGGACAGGTGGGAGGTGTCAGACCTGGGACTTGGGAGAGCGGTAACCCGTCGGCCACTGCGGGTGGGTGAACTCCACCTGGTGGGACAGGTGGGAGGTGTCAGACCTGGGAGAGCGGTAACCCGTCGGCCACTGCGGGTGGGTGAACTCCACCTGGTGGGACAGGTGGGAGGTGTCAGACCTGGGAGAGCGGTAACCCGTCGGCCACTGCGGGTGGGTGAACTCCACCTGGTGGGACAGGTGGGAGGTGTCAGACCTGGGAGAGCGGTAACCCGTCGGCCACTGCGGGTGGGTGAACTCCACCTGGTGGGACAGGTGGGAGGTGTCAGACCTGGGAGAGCGGTAACCCGTCGGCCACTGTGGGTGGATGAACTCCACCTGGTGGGACAGGTGGGAGGTGTCAGACCTGGGAGAGCGGTCACCCGTCGGCCACTGTGGGTGGGTGAATTCCATCTGGGTATTACAGATGAAGGCATCATATCAGGGTCCGTGGGGGGGGGGGGGGGTAACCTGAACATCCATTGCAGGGGTTGGCAAGTCTATGATGTGTGAGACAGGGGAGGGTGAGGTAGCCTACCCATCAGCTGCAGCTGGATGCATGGCTCTGGTGCCTGGTGGTCCCTTTAGTAGTAGTATTATGTGTAGCAAATCAACGTAAGTGCTCATTACCCTTATTACTGGACAAATATACATATCAGTGTCAAAAAGACCCATTCACCACTGTTTTAATTGGCCAGGCTGGACAATTTCAGTCTTACACATACAGCTTTCTGGTGCAAATGTTGGATAGGTAACATGAAATTACACCTGCATTACAAAGGGACATAGACCAAGCATGGTGCATTTTTGCATCTTTGCACTTAGCCCTGTCTTATTACATATAGCCCACACAATATGAAGGCAGTTACAATCAAAGGATTACTTAGACCAGACTTACAAATGCAAGCAGATGAGTGCATCCATGACAATACACAATGCCAGTTGATGAAACTTTTTTTTTGCAGCATACAGTGAAAAAACAGCAATGCTAATACAGTTTCTTACCTGGTATCCCTTTTTGTGGTGGAAACCAACCACAATTATGTGCAATATGATATTTTCCCTGTCTTCCATGTTTTTAGTAATTGATATGATATTCAGCCCTGAATCATATGTGCCATGGCAAAGACTACTCTACACAGTACATCAATACAGTGGCCATGGTTTATCTGAAAATAGACAGAATCAGTGGGTACTCTCAAATACCTCAAAGCTTAACAACTTAAAATTGCACATATATCTTTGAAACCAGCAAGCAATCATTACAGTGTGTGTTTAATGTAACTGGCCTTGGCAGTGTTTAACAGTAACAGACCCATATAGATATACCGTGCCTACTTAGGAAAGGAGTGCTCCATTTTTTTCTAAAAATAGTTTTGGGTAGAAAATCACGCAATAGGAAATATTTCCATCCCCAAAATCAGAAAAAGTGACATTATTTCATCCATGATAAAATGTTTCAGCATTTGAACAGGCAGGTAGCACATGGCTTGACAGCTGATGCATCAACATCCTTTCCTTTCAGTCCAGATTCTGCCAAGATCCTGACATGAACTCCTTCTTTATCAATTGGCATTAAAAATGATGTTACATTGTTTTGGGAATATACAAATTACAATAGCTATTCACTTCAGTTTTTCTCATCCTAGTATTTTTCTTCATTGGTAACAGCTAAAATCCAATTCAGAACACTGTCAGGTCAGGAGACCACAGCCATCCACAATGCTTAGAAAAAATACTGCTGAATTCATATGAAAAGGAAACATTCCAGCAACTTTTTCAGCGACAATAAACTAAGGTAGACATACAAACTACCTAGCTAATTACAAAAAGTCAGATAGAAGCAAGGCACATGCTTGGTAGTTGGTTGCAGGTTTGATCCTGGAGAATATCCAGTCCAGTTATTCAGTCACATTGTTGGACATTGGATATTTTGTTCAAGCAAATATACAGTCCTGATCCTGCATTCAAATTGAAATAGGTACCTAGTGGCTTATTGTTTGTATGTTGGGGCCTGGGGGTTAGGGGCGCACCAACTGCAAGGTCATTTTGCGCCCAACTTAATAATACCTAGTGGCTTAATGGGCTGTGATTTGTGGCCAGATTTGCAGTCAGTAAGCAATCAGATTTGATAGTGCCAGCTCACTACACCATAGTCAACATAGGTAATTATTGGAGAGGTAGTCTGTTAGTCGCAACTCGCAAAGGCATATCTTTATCATCCTAAGACTAGTAAGTCACAAGATCTTAAAGGGACCCTCCCACCTTAACATTAGTTTTGAGTTGAGATAGCCAAGTTTGCGGCCAGGCTCAGAAACCACCATTTATCGTGGTCGCAACCCCCGCAGCTTTATGGTGTTCAAGTAATTTCTTCCCTTTACTTGCAGGGTGGGACCAGCGTGGTCCCTATCTCTTAACCATTACGGGAATCTGATGACGTCATCAGGCTTTCGAACGTCCGTTAAATGTTTGACTAAAACGTTTTGTAGCATGCTGTGGTATATGCTGCTTTGCACGCAACAAATGCCGCACTTTCAAATAAAGTCGCTAGGAACAGCGGAGATCCCAAAAAGTAAACAAAAGTAAAAGTCTAATATCTTGAAAACCGGTGAATATTTTTCGATGAACTTTGGTAGATATTCGTTTTTGCTCTTTCTGAACCGAGCGACATCACTTTCATGCCAATTCATTAACTTTTTTGAAGGTGGGAGGGTCCCTTTAAGGGCCTTAAAAATCATGTTTGGGAAAGGGATCAAAGCCTCATAAAAATGCCTGAACTCAGAAAAGGGACTTACTTTCAACAATACTTAAAACGTAAGAAGTAATCTTTGACCACCCAAGGCCCTAGTGACCACCTCAACAGTAAATACCAGAGGTGGGCAATAGGCATAAGTTGGGCATTAAAAAGGTCACATCAGGTGTTAACCCTATTAGTGGCAGGCTCCTGGCTACCCCCTATTAGTGGCAGGGGGGCTGTTTACGACCCCCCCTTGATATCTCAAGATCTAACGGGCCGATTTTCAAAATTCAAACGGCATTCGATTTCGCTCAACGTGATCTACATTTCTAAAAAATAAAAATTTAAAAATGTCAATAGGGGGGGCAGAGGGGGGTAAAAACGGGCAAATTGCAGATACATTTTAGACTGTTTATCACGGCCAGGTTTCTGAACCAATCTTAACGCAACTTTTGCCGATCGATAGAGAATGAACCAGGAATTCACATGGATCCCAAAAATATGCATTTTCAAAAATCATAGGCGGATACAGATCATTGAGATTGGGGGTACACAAAAAATATAGTAAATAAGGTTTTTGTTGGTACTGTTTCTAAAAATGGTGGTAATGGTCTTGTTATGTTACAATTTTCTTATGAGGGAACGACTACAATTGTATTGGTCATGCATAGGCGGTGTCAGGGCACCTATGTTGGGAGGTAAAACATAACCCCCCTTTTTGGACGCCTGGATCCGCCTATTATAGCAAAAACGTGTCAAAAGAGGATGCACAATAACTGTATATGTTATCACATGATACCTTTCATTCACTGTTCGTAAAACTGGTGCAGCATCGTGATCTTCGCCCAAATGACTCGCTTCACGAATAGGACCCCCCAATTCCCAGTGCTCTGGAGCCGCCCCTGGTAAAGTTATGAACTTGAAATTTTCAGGGAATGTGCCCAATTTCAGTGGGGGAAACTGTGGTCAAATCTTCTATTTTTGGAAGCCTTCCATTTTTGGAAGGACCTTCCATAAATGGGTATGCATTTTCCAAAAATGGAAGGCTTCCAAAATTGGAAGGTCTAATCTCAGTGTTCCCAACTGTGATTCACATTCTTTGATTTAAGTTACGGCCTTTTTAAATGTGTAACATTAATAGTTGATTTTGCCATTTATGATCATTGATATAAGGAGAAGCAGCAGTGCTAGTGTTGGTAATACAGGCATGCTATGTCAATGTACATAGTGATATAATAGCATGGTGTCCTGGCGCACTGCTCTCTTTTTCTACTTCTAGAGGACACATAGAAATTCAGAAGAGAAAACAGCTGGTCAATAACCAACCAGGAGGAACACAGCTATAGCCCTGACAAAAAATGGTTTAAATTAAACTTACTATTCCTCATATAAATTGAAGATTCATGCTCCTTCGATAGAAAGTAACACGAAAAACGGCGCAGCAACGCCTATTTAATTCGTCCCATATTCCGGAAAAAACATTGAAAAATGACGAGACCTCCACCCAAATGTTTGGCAAAAGCCTTAAAAAATTGAAATCAACCACACAATATGCTAATAAATGCAGAAAACGGCAACAAATACAAGTTTTACTCGCCACTACACTCCCGAAACCGCCGCACTCTGTCCAGACAATTCCGCACTGTAAATAAAGTCGGCGGTATCGAACAAGCATGGCCCGTCACTAAAGTACTTTTAAGGATATTTACTTTTCGTTTTTGATGCTTTTTGCTTACAAAATGTTTGATAAAGTCTTATAAAACCATCGTTTGTCGGTAAATTTTTGTCAATTTTCCACGACTCATTACTTTGAAAAATTACCTAAAATACATCCACGCTAGGATTTAGGCATCCACGCTAGATTATGGACACTTCACTATGGCGAATAGAAAGCGACCAGGGGCGATAGTCGCATTTGCCTCATGTTCGGCGGAAATCGGTAAGTTCCAACATATGCGCAACATTTTCTATATTTGGGTACGATGACGTCGTCAGCGTACCCATTTTTGGAAGGTGCGTACCCATATATAGAAAATCCTTCCAAAAATGGAAGGCTTTCTAAAAATGGAAGATTTGACCACAGTTTCCCCGACTGATTTAGTTTTAGGAAAAGTCAGAAAATTTCAGCATCGTAGCTTCAGCGGTTTCGGAGATATTACCGAAAAACCTGAGGGGTGGATAAAAACAACCCCCCCCCTGCCACTTATAGGGTTAAGATAAGCTGGGTAAGCTCTCAATATTTTTACTTAAAAATTGTCATTGAAATTAGTTGAAATCCCAAATACAATGCAAGCGTGACATTTTTGGCGCAAAGGGACGGGACAGATAATGTAGTCAAAGATCTGGCTGCAGTTTGACATTCTCAAAATGATCTAGATCTGTTGCAGACCACCAAAATGTATAAATATGTAACATTAAGGCCAAAGCTAGCGAAAAAAAACGCTATGCGCTAAAAGCGAAACGCAACACAACCATTATCCTATCGCCAAATCAAGGTATAGAGCAAGGCCCTATATACCAGGTAGGGTCGTCCGGCGATTCTACCTTTTCGTGACGTCAGCTCGTGACGTCATTTGGAGTCAAGTCTCGAAGCCCCGTTCAATCCCCATGTAAATGAGCGATTTTCGAAGCATTGTAGAATAAAGTCTGCACAAGATATATCAAACTTAAGTATCTTATCTGAAAGAGCAGACAATTTTCTGCAAGGCATCTATTACGTGTTTTTCGCTAAATCTTTTGCTTTTTTCACAAAAGCGTAAAATGTCCCCCCATGTCTCCGCAGCTTCCCTGCCGCCGGCCGCCGCGCGGTCGCGGTAGTGTAGTGGTTAGCGTGCCCGCGCAGTATTCCAAAGGTCCCGAGTTCGAATCTATGCGGTGCGGAACTTTAATTGCAATTCCAAGCTGAATATACGCACATCCATAATAAATTATTATTCGTATAGCTAAACTGTCACCAAGCTATCCATATAAATTGACTTCACCCAAAATATCGGCAAGATTCTATTAAAATATAAATTCAAATATGGCGGCTTGGACTGCCGCGTGCGTTAGGCTCCGCCCATAGCTCCGCCCACATGCGTGACGTCATTCGTGTTAGTGGACACGCAGAGAGATAGGGGACGACATGGGCCTGGTATAGAGATTTATGCAGCTTTTGGTCAATAACTCTTGCCAAGCCGCAGCTGCGTCATATTACGTCATTGGCAGATTAAAAAAGCAAATCCGTAATGCACATGAGTGGCGAGGCCGAGCCCTACGAAGTTCATCAGAAGTTCATCATTGACCCTATGGTGCTTCATTGTAAGAATGGCTTTGGATTCCTAAAACTAACCATTAGAGCCCTACCTATAAATTTTGGAAAGTGACGCCCATTGTAATGCATATTACCTATTCATTACGAATTTACGAGCATCTCTGGTTTTGGTGAAGGTTTAACTGGTTAAAGGCGGGTTTAAAGGTATGTTGGTATGCAAAAAACTAAATTCATCATTGGCCCCGCCGGATCTACAGTTTTCACATAACCTTTCACCCGCCTCTCCGGCCGAGGAGTGGGCTGTGGGTGGGTGGAACCCCGCTGTTTTGCCCAAAGTTTAAGTTTCACCCCTAACTGAGCTATGAGCCTAGCGGAAAACGGCATAGGTATATTCCGCTACAAGACGCAACGGATAACTACCGTTGTGACTCGTTGTCAGCCTGGAGGTGGTAGAACTTGCAATTGCTCCCTCCGCCATTCAAGTTTCCGTCTTCATTTTTGTTATAACTCTTCATTCCTATACCTATCATCTTTACACTTACCCTGAAAACATGAAAATTTCAAACAACAGGTCCCAAGGCCACGATAAGACAATTTTTGGCTACGTGCCCCTTTTGCCCACTATGGTCTATGGGAATATAAACGTTGCCCTTTGACCTACCTTCTTGGGTCACTGTAACTGCGTAGCAGTTGTATCTGACTTTGGTTTCTCCTCATTTGCAGGTTCGCCAGCCATTGAATGAGTGCTAATTGAGCTGGGCGGCTATTTGTTTGTTTCTTTGTTGCGCATTGAGCGACTGGAAGGAGTGACTGTGAAGACAGCACACTGTTGTCACTCGAGGTACCTGGAAAGAGTACGTTTCTATTTTTCTCTAGTCATTTCCGTTGTATCGTTCGTCGCGATTTGGCTTCACCATGTGTTAATAATTTTTTTCGCGCTATAATTCTGTTACAAAGTACAAGCGTACTGGTTTCGATTATTTATCATGCGTTTACCAAAGTTTCGACTGAACGTTCGCCACATTTTCATGTGTCACATTTAACGCGAAGTGTGTATGTGAGTGTGAATGTGTGCGCTTTATTGCTGAGAGAGCATTATTTTAACCCATTTTCTCAATGTGTGATTGACAGGTTTTTACGGTGACCGTGGTGTTACCAACCCAAGGTTCTCTCCCAGTAAACATGCCGACGTCGGCCCGACGTCGGGCCGAGGCTCGGCCCGACGTCGGCCCAGCGTCGGGTCAACCTCGGCCCGACATCGGCTGGACGTCGGATATGCCCGCATGTTCCAACGTCCAGCCGAAGTCCAGCCGACGTCGAACCGACGTCGGGCCGAGATCGTTTGCCGAGGTTGACGAGATCGTTTGTCGTTGGACCGACGGGGCCGACGTCGGCATGTTTATTGGGACAGCGCGCCAAAAATATCAACCGGCGGCGGGATTCGAGCCCCCCAGTCGCCGACGTCGGCATGTTTACTGGGACAACACGCCAAAAGCATCAGCCGGCGATGGGATTCGAACCCCGTGTCATTCGAATGCGAGGTTAGTGCGCTAACCACTACACCACGCAGCCAGCTAACGAATTTGGTTTGTTTTGTTGGCTTATGTCCTTTCGGTCTGACAAGACCATTTCAGAGCCGGAAGGATCATAGGATGGAGACATTGGTCTTCTTGGCGAGCACCCTGGGTCCAGTTCATATAGAGTCCCTGGTCGCATTGCTGTTACGTGACACTTATTGGAAAGGGCGACCCCACAATGGATTCATATAGCCACTCTTACACACCTGCACCAACGTTTCCCAAAGTGTCCCTTTGATAAGTGGCACTTTGGCAAAGTGACACTTGCCGACTGGCCTTTCTATATGAACTGGGCCCGGCCCTGGTGAGTTGCCGGGGCTGAGCCTGACCAAAGGATAGGCCGAGCAGCCCCCAAGCACTCACCGCACCCGGCTACGGGCGAGCTCGGCTTACGGGCAATCCCAAATGGGATAAAGTTTCCCGTCCAGTCCGGATCAGGGGGTTGCGGCGTGGAGGAAGATTTGAGTTTCCTGAGGATATTTTGAATACAGAAGCTCTTTATGAAACATGAAACATGTATTTTATATTATTTTAACGGTCAAAGCAGCGGCCGATGTCGGTCCGACGTCGCCCCGACGTCGGCCCCACGTCGGCTGGACCTCAGCAATTGATCTCGGTCCGACGTCGGCCCGACGTCGGCTGGACCTCGGCTGGACGTCGGAACATGCGGGCATATCCGACATCCAGCCGACGTCGTGCCGAGGTTGGACCGACGTCGGGCCGACGTCGGCATGCTGATGCCGAGTTGCCGACGTCACCCCGACGTCGGCCGACGTCGGGCCGACGTCGGCATGTTTACTGGGCTGTCATTACCCCACATTACTGGATCCTAATACATGTGCCCTATCCCAATGCATCCAGTAGTTTGAGTTTGATTGACGGTGGTGGCGGAGGCCGCATCAGTAAAAACTCTTCCTTCCGTCAGTGACCAATGACCATACTACTAACAAACTAACCGTGACCCGCAGAGTCAGAATTATGCTTCTCATTATTATTTTTTCCTCAATTACCTCAGTAGTTAGAGCTGTAGCTGTCCCCCATTAACGAGTCAACCAACAAGGAACCGAACATGGAGGGAGACAGCATCAGTGAAGCGCGTGGACTTCCAGGTCTCACCTCACAACGTGGAAGACAAGTAACGCTGACTGAAGAAGGGAGACAGTTCCAGATCGACATCAAGCAAAAGAAGTACCAGAAGGATCTGAAGGAGTTGAAGAAGGGTGTCGATATCATCAAGAGGCTGGAAGTGGCAGGTGAAGAGGAGAATGAGACGCTCAAAGAAGCATACATCCAGTGGAAGAGAACATACATCGATCTGGTTCAGACTTCCAGTGAGCTGCAAGGTCTTCTCTCTGAAGTTGATTTGCAGCAACACCTGTCAAGACACCAAGATGTGATGCCTGAACTCAACACAATGAAGGCCGAGATGGAAAAGAAACTGGAGCCTACTCACAAGACACAAGAAGTTCAGCCATCAGTCGCATCATCAAGGTATTCTGTCCGATCGAAGATCAGCCTTCTGCGACTTGAAGACGCCCAGAGAAGAGCGGAGCTAGAAGCCAGAGCAGCTGCCGCAAAGAAGCGACTGCAAATGGAGCGTCAGAAACAAGAGCTGCAGTGGAAGATGCAGGAACTGGAGCTGGACACTGAGCGTGAGATCCTGAAGGCGAAGCAAGGGCTCTACTGAAGTTTGAAGAGGAGGAAGGAATGTACGCACCCGGGATTCCCATCCAGAGGAGCAAAGAAGAAGAAGACGCGATGCGTGCATCAGAGCTTCCCCGTACCGAAGAGCAAGCTTGAAAAACGAGAAGCCTCAAGCAAGATAGCTGTGCCCGAGCAAGCAAAGGCGTGCAAGGAGTCTGAGACATCCAACGATCCGAGCCCTTCGACTGCGGCCGACGTTCTCTCCAGCTTGGTGAGCGTCCTGAAGGACCAGAACAAGCAGAGCCACCTCCCGCTCATCGAACCAGGCGTGTTCTCGGGGAGCATCGAAAGGTTCCCGCTCTGGTTGAAGGCATTCGAGACGTATTGTATTGTATTGTATTTACGATCATGGGCGATCCACACATGGCGTGGCGATTACTGCCCATTACTGCCCGACGTACAGTCACCAGCAGTTGCTACCCATCACCCCCAGACGGCGGGGGAGCAAGCTACCACCGCCCCTGCGAGACTAGCGCCGCCATGCGCCAAGAAGTGGAAACACCACGTGACTGAGGCCACGTGAGGGCAGGGTCACGTGATGGAGGGGCGGAGCATAGTAGCTTTTGCGCCCGACACTAACTGAAATGCGGCGCTGTGATTGGGCGCCTTAGCATGACTGAAGCCTCGGCGCCAGAATCAGCCGTTCGCCTTATATGGAAAGTGAGCCTTTACGTTTCACTGTTCTGTATTGGTTTGAGAGCCACGGCACCATACGAATTGTGAGCCCCTTTGAACGGGTCACCGCCCGAGGCACTGAGGCGACGGCCGTGCCGGGCAAAGTCTAGCCTGGTGGGAGAGGTGGGCCGGGGAAAGTGCGATCGATCATCGAGCAGCCACTGGGACGTGGATTGGTATTATCCAACCGCGACAAACGATGTCAGCAGCCTCTTCTCGTGTCATAGACAGTGTCTATGACACGAAAAGCTAGACAGACAACGTGGGCAGTGCCCAATCAAAAGCTACTCAAAACGATCCAGTTAAGAAGTTGGCGAGGTAGCCAGACCAAATACAAAGTTTTTAATTCGATTTTGGTTGACAAATGGCATACAAGCCCGCTGTGATGGACCAAAAAAAGGAGCTGAACAGTTCATACAACTTCTAAAAAGCTCAACGGTTTAAAAATTCAAAAGTTAAATGTTAAAATTCAGCCTGCATGTTCAAACTCTGGTCCGGCGCTGGCAGGAAGCTTATATTGCCACTTGCAATTTCACTGCGTTGTAATATGCCTAACCAAGAGTTCTGTGAGAGCAGCAACTGAAAGCCCCGTTGAGGGGGGAGGGCGGCGCGAAACGCCCCCCTCTCTCCTTTTCAGTCGATATCTCCTAAAGTATATCAAATGTCGCCACCAAACTTTCAAGACCCCTCCAGGCATCATTTTTACACTTGTGACCAAATTTTTCCAGATCTCTTATGAAAGGTTAGTCACAAATGACGCCAGAGGGATGTCATGTTCTGTCATTTTCGACCCAATAAAAGGTTTAGCGGGAAGAGCTGTCACGCTTACAGTTTTGAAGATAACGAAAAATATTTAAGATCAAAAAGATGTAAAATAAACAGCGCTACCAAACTGCTTACTCTTATTTCCAAACAACAATTGATTTTGACCGTCAAAACTATATAGAAGTATAACACTCAGAAAATGCCAACAACTTTCAAAATTAAAACTGAAATATATGTTACAGAACTATCTGCTCTAGATATGCCAAACTTAAACTCGATAACTCTATTTTTAGCAGTTATGGCAAAAAAAAACTTTTTAAAATTTATGACGTAACATTTTCAAATTCAATTTTTAGCCGTCACAGAACACACAGAGCAAGTCAAAGACCACCGTTGGATTTCCTATGATGAGCTGCATCGAATAGATACCCCTTTTATGCAAAATATCAACTTCGAAATTTGATCTTCTTTGACCTGACCTTGACCTGACCTCCACCAGAATGTAATCTAAACTGGTTCCAATGACCCCTGTGGCAACCTCTTTAGGCAACATATGTATTAGACAACCAACGCTCCATCGATGTTTTTCGATAACATGCCTTTTAACCGCAGGTTGTTTGAAAAGACAAACACTATTCGTTAGAATTGTGTTTTTCTATTGAAAAACAACCGGAGCAGTCGTATTTGATGTGTTAACTGACTGTAACGCATTCCTTAGACTAAATCGGTGAAAAAATGCAACCTTTGACCTGACTTGTGACGTCATGGGTTGCACCTAGGTCAACCAAACCTGGTAACAAGGTAGTTCCCTTGGGGCTATGGAACGCTCTTTGAATGTTCAAAATCGGTCGGTAACTTTCCGAGATCTCAGGTGGAAGGCGAAACGGCTGCACCATCCGATCAGGTGGTAGGGTCCGCCAATAGCCCAAGGGGGCGCGGATTATTTATTCACTCAAACAGTGTCATTTATTTTGAGAACACCTTTCTCACGCCATGACATGGTCCTCCCGTAATAGAACGAGATGAGGAGAGTGTTTTTACGCCTCCTTATGCATGGCTCTAAATGTCATTGAGCTATCAACTGTCAGCGGTTTTCGGACAATGAAGTTCTTAGTTCTTACTGAATCCAATTTTATTTCAAACGATTGTCACTGTGCTAGTTTTCTTATACGTTTTTGAAAAAGCGCTGAAGAAGTCTTTGATAGACGAAACCGTTCCGCTTATTCTTTTTGAGAATGTTTGGTATTTTTTTTTTACCCGAACGATGTGCAGCTGAATTTTCCCTCTTGAATGATTATGGACAGCTCGCGAAATTAACTTCAACCTAAACTACCGACAAGCAGAAGAAAATCCGATACAAGCTTCCTCAATCCTCTCACCTTATTCAACCGTTGAAACGTTAAAGGCATTTAGTAAGAAAATTAACCTCACTCTCATTCTATCTAAAAGTAAATTCCGGATTCGAAATAAAACAAACTTTTTGAGAAGCTTTCGGCATTGCGCCATCATCAGCTCTGGAGTTTTATTCGCAAACATTTGAGAAAATATGCATTCGGGCTGATAGTTTTGTCTGCAGTTATTTCATCCAGTACTTCCTTCATATTATATAACAGTTGGCGGCGCAAGAACATTTCGTTACACACATGCATGTAGATCGACATCGTATCAAATAAACATCGTATAAGTTAACATCAAATAAACCTCGTATCGTATCGTGCATCATTCTTTTGAACAGATTCTTTTGAACACATAGCAGGCCCAGATATTGTGAAGTAAAACACCTTAAATACATTCATCACACAAACATACAGCGAAAAAAAACCACAAACACATACAACATACAAATAGGACATACACCTTGCAAACAGTTGATCGATGTCGATCAGTCTGTCAGGCTCAGGTACCACGCCGTATCAAAGACCACGATGAGGTTTGTGTGTTAAGGGTAGGTTTCAGATCACGAATGTATATTGATTCCCAAATCTTTCTGTCTGGACCGTCTTTGGAGACATGCAAAATTTGGATCGAGATGTTGTCGCTGCCCAGCTGAATATCTGGATGTTTGGTTTGATGGAAGCCAAAGGGAGTGTCTTCTTTTCTGTTTCTAGCATCTCTGATGTGCTCGTTGTACCTGAGCCTGACAGACCGGCGAGTTTCTCCGATATAAAATGATGCGTTTTCGTCGCACAGCTTACAGTCCATTCGATAGATGACATTTTTTTGGTGACATTTGCCTTTAAGGCCTGCCTCACACCCATTGCACCGCCTACCTGCCCCCGGACACGGTGGAGGAAGGTAGGCTGACCTAACCAGTTTTTTCTTCAAGCTGGGACCTCCCTTCCACGCTACCCTTATGTTCAGATGACTACTCCTGATGATGCCTTCTGTCTTACGGCAGAGTTCATCATCCACGAAAGGGAGGGTCATGAAGGTTTGAGAGGGTTGTTGCTGAGTGGCATGAGTCAGAGAGGCTGATGCTCTTCGGACTGCTTCGTTTTTCAACCGATTGACTAAGTGAGGAGGGTAGCCATTTTTTACGAATAGGTCCTGGATTGTTTTCAAACTGCGCGCCCGAGGGAGTCCCGGGGAGGAGACCCTGATGGCCCGTAAGAATTGTGACCGTACTGTGTTTTTCTTTGTGGAAAGGGGTAGCGCTGAGCGGAAGTGAACGATCACTGGTGATGACATGGGTTTTACGAAAAGTTCACTTGTGTAAGACCCAGACTCCAAAATTGATATTTTGGTGTCAAGGAAAGCCAATGAACCGGTATCGGCGGTATGCTCAATCGTGAACTTGATTGTTGGGTGAATGGTGTTCAGAAAGTTGAAGTACTCTTCGAGGGCTTCTTTCCCATGTGTCCAGACCCCAAAGACGTCGTCTATGTACCGCAGGTACAGGACGGGCTGGAGGCGCTGGGCGGCAAGGAACATTGATTCTAAGGCATGCATGAACAAAATTGCTAGTGGTGGTGCCACCCTGCTGCCCATGGCGATGCCGTCCGTCTGTTTGAAATATTTTGATCCAAACCGAATGAAGTTGTTTGTCATGCAGTGTTCTAAAAGTTTTTTAACGTCAGCTACTTCCAAACCGAAAGTTTCCACCCGTTCCTTATGGTGTTCCTTATGGTTCCTTAACCGTCGCCGCTCCAGCCGTAGCCGGTGCTACCGACAATGCTTCAGAAGCAGCGGCTGCCCCTGCCGCTGTCGCTGCTGGCGCTTCGACTGCTGCCGCAGTGGCTGATGAACACGCAGCCGCAGACACGGTAGGAGCTCCCGCAACAGCGAAGAGACTCCAGCCTCGATTCCCAGATGGAAACTGTAGCCAGGCGCCTGCGGCTCCAAGCGCCGTGGAACAATCTCTACAGCAGGTAAAGAGAAAGATTTTAGCTGCGTACAAAACCCACCCTTCGAGATGCACTAATCACAGCCAGTCTCAGAGTCGGGCGTTGCGCCAACTAGCCCAAAACAAAGACATCGTTGTGAAACCTTCAGACAAATGTAAGGGACTAGTGGCAATGAATGCATCGGACTATGTGGAAAAGATGAATTCTATCACTTCCAACTATGAGGAGGTGAACCGTAACCCGATCCCAAGGTTAGAGGCCAACACCAAACGTGTAATTCACCAGACTATGGATGACAAAGTTGATGAAGGTGTAGTAAAGGCTATTACACCGCACTGCTCGAGAACCGCCGAGCTGTATGGGCTTCCCAAGGACCACAAACACGGCATTCCCCTCAGACCGATAGTATCCGCCTGTGATGACCCTCTAGATAAACTGACTTGGTTTTTGGAGAAGGTAGTTTCACAGCTCATTCCCTATGTGCCAGCCCACTTAAAAAACACGTCTCAGTTTCTGGATCGTGTATCAGAACAATTTCCTGGGGGGTTTGAACCAGGTACGATACTTTTCAGCATCGACGTCGTCAACCGCCGAGCTGTATGGGCTTCCCAAGGACCACAAACACGGCATTCCCCTCAGACCGATAGTATCCGCCTGTGATGACCCTCTAGATAAACTGACTTGGTTTTTGGAGAAGGTAGTTTCACAGCTCATTCCCTATGTGCCAGCCCACTTAAAAAACACGTCTCAGTTTCTGGATCGTGTATCAGAACAATTTCCTGGGGGGTTTGAACCAGGTACGATACTTTTCAGCATCGACGTCGTCAACCTCTACGGCAACATACCAATTAGGGAAGCCATCGACGCCACCATGGCCCTCCTCGAGCACCATAAGGAACGGGTGGAAACTTTCGGTTTGGAAGTAGCTGACGTTAAAAAACTTTTAGAACACTGCATGACAAACAACTTCATTCGGTTTGGATCAAAATATTTCAAACAGACGGACGGCATCGCCATGGGCAGCAGGGTGGCACCACCACTAGCAATTTTGTTCATGCATGCCTTAGAATCAATGTTCCTTGCCGCCCAGCGCCTCCAGCCCGTCCTGTACCTGCGGTACATAGACGACGTCTTTGGGGTCTGGACACATGGGAAAGAAGCCCTCGAAGAGTACTTCAACTTTCTGAACACCATTCACCCAACAATCAAGTTCACGATTGAGCATACCGCCGATACCGGTTCATTGGCTTTCCTTGACACCAAAATATCAATTTTGGAGTCTGGGTCTTACACAAGTGAACTTTTCGTAAAACCCATGTCATCACCAGTGATCGTTCACTTCCGCTCAGCGCTACCCCTTTCCACAAAGAAAAACACAGTACGGTCACAATTCTTACGGGCCATCAGGGTCTCCTCCCCGGGACTCCCTCGGGCGCGCAGTTTGAAAACAATCCAGGACCTATTCGTAAAAAATGGCTACCCTCCTCACTTAGTCAATCGGTTGAAAAACGAAGCAGTCCGAAGAGCATCAGCCTCTCTGACTCATGCCACTCAGCAACAACCCTCTCAAACCTTCATGACCCTCCCTTTCGTGGATGATGAACTCTGCCGTAAGACAGAAGGCATCATCAGGAGTAGTCATCTGAACATAAGGGTAGCGTGGAAGGGAGGTCCCAGCTTGAAGAAAAAACTGGTTAGGTCAGCCTACCTTCCTCCACCGTGTCCGGGGGCAGGTAGGCGGTGCAATGGGTGTGAGGCAGGCCTTAAAGGCAAATGTCACCAAAAAAATGTCATCTATCGAATGGACTGTAAGCTGTGCGACGAAAACGCATCATTTTATATCGGAGAAACTCGCCGGTCTGTCAGGCTCAGGTACAACGAGCACATCAGAGATGCTAGAAACAGAAAAGAAGACACTCCCTTTGGCTTCCATCAAACCAAACATCCAGATATTCAGCTGGGCAGCGACAACATCTCGATCCAAATTTTGCATGTCTCCAAAGACGGTCCAGACAGAAAGATTTGGGAATCAATATACATTCGTGATCTGAAACCTACCCTTAACACACAAACCTCATCGTGGTCTTTGATACGGCGTGGTACCTGAGCCTGACAGACTGATCGACATCGATCAACTGTTTGCAAGGTGTATGTCCTATTTGTATGTTGTATGTGTTTGTGGTTTTTTTTCGCTGTATGTTTGTGTGATGAATGTATTTAAGGTGTTTTACTTCACAATATCTGGGCCTGCTATGTGTTCAAAAGAATCTGTTCAAAAGAATGATGCACGATACGATACGAGGTTTATTTGATGTTAACTTATACGATGTTTATTTGATACGATGTCGATCTACATGCATGTGTGTAACGAAATGTTCTTGCGCCGCCAACTGTTATATAATATGAAGGAAGTACTGGATGAAATAACTGCAGACAAAACTATCAGCCCGAATGCATATTTTCTCAAATGTTTGCGAATAAAACTCCAGAGCTGATGATGGCGCAATGCCGAAAGCTTCTCAAAAAGTTTGTTTTATTTCGAATCCGGAATTTACTTTTAGATAGAATGAGAGTGAGGTTAATTTTCTTACTATTTGTTACAATGTCTCTCAAGTTAGCGTTGAAACATATTCAAGACTGTTAAAGGCATTTGTTCAGTCCGAGTCGCTATGTCGACCACCTGCGCCGTGCTGGGGGGGGGGGGGGGCGTTTTTTACGCCCTTCCCCCCTCAGGTTTTTCGCGAATATCTCAAAAACGGCGACGCGACGCGTAGCGTCATTCAAGGTCAGGTCACCAGGTAACGTCAAGTGACCTTACCTCGGAAAAAAATTGAAAGCTCGCTGTAGACACCGACTGAGCGATCACTTTAAAACTTTCATAATTGCTTAGGGTATGTATAAAATGGATGCCTCGGATTTTTATGTCTGTGACCTAAGATCAGGTAAATTTTGCGACTGCTCCATTAGGTATAAGTCAATGGGAGAAAATTGAAATGCGCCTCTTTTGGACGAATTTCGTTCTACACGCTCTCAAACATCGGTCCATAGGTGAACATGACACACTGAATCGGGAAATTGCACCTGTGACCCCTGTGTGTGCCCCTGAGGTCATTTTAGGACATAAAAGGTCTTCAGCAGTTTTTTTGACTTTTGACAGATACGTGCTAGAGCGGTGAAAACACCGTTAATCTGAGGTCAAATTTGAGGTCAATTAGAGCGGTGCCCTCTGGGGGCTAAACCGTTGATCTGAGGTCAAATTTGAGGACATGTTGGCGAAAGAGCGTTAAAAGAGCTATGCTTTTCCGCGGCGCTGTAGCTCTAATGGTTCCCGAGTTAGCCGTCGGGTGTTCAAAATCGTTGAAATCAACAAAATTTTACCTATGATGAACCCTGGTGACCTGACCTTTGCCCTGACCTTAAAATGACCGAGTGTTTTCCTCCTTATTTTTGACGCTCTTTCGATTGCCGCTTACCGTGTGTCGCTACGTGGCCCAGAAGCCGAATTAGACGGAGGGGCGTGAAACGCCTCCCCCCCCCCAGCACTCGACGGAAATGTATATTGATAGAGACAAGTAGAAAAACACGGAACAAATAGTGCATGGACGCGTTTCGATTATTAAATCGAAAATCAAAGCTCGAATGCTCGAATGTTTGTGTGCTATATCTTGTTTTCTCTGTGATTATGTCATGCTGATGAAGATTTGATAATCGAAACGCGTCCATGCACTATTTGTTCCGTGTTTTTCTACTCGACGGAAAGCGTATGCCACCAACACGGCGCGGGTTAATTGTTATGTTAGCTAGCTCCTGTTGTAAGCTGTGGAGTCGTGGACCTGATCTTGAAGGAACTGGACCTAACATTTTCATAGCAAACGTAAAAAATGTTTAATAGATTGTGCAAAAAATAGCATCTCTTTTATGAAACATTTGCGAAACCTTCAACATCATCCCCACTCAGACCCCATTAGTGCCGAGCTCCCAACGACGACCATAAGAACGTCCCCATCCCGTCATAGGCGGTGGAACGGGGAGGGCACCGGGGCACCGTGCCCCCCTTTGATTTTGGCATTTCAACATTAGCCCTATGAGCGTTACATGGAAATAATAGGACCGAAAGTCGGCAGTCCCCCCCCCCTCCCCTTAATTGAAGGTGTTCCGCCGCTACTGCATCCCGTCAACGTGGGTTTATCATTAGGATGCTAAGATTTCATTTCCAATCCGAAGCTGTAATGATGGAAAGCAAATTTACATTTTACATGTGAAACAAGCTGACACAACTAAATATTTCCTCTCTCGCTCCCTCTCACTTATTTACCCATTGCCCTCTTTCTCATTACTCTCTCTCTCTCTCTCTCTCTCTCTCTCTCTCTCTCTCCCCTTCTCTCTCTCCCCCTTTCTCTCTCTCTCCCTTTCTCTCTCACCTCTCCCTCTCTCTATCTTTCCTCACAATATTCTCGACTGTCACAGCGTTGTAGGGCTTATTTTCAGACAGGTCCAGGCGCTCCCCACTCCGCAGGCCCCAGCCCACACGGCCCAACCGCTCAAACACCCTCCGGCGGATGACCTCTGACCTCGGCGACCTGACCCTAGCCGACCGATCGCGTCCCTCTCCACGCCTCCGCCCCGCTTCCCCCACTACAGCTGCGTAGTAATTGTAGCGTGTGCAAAGGTCACGTGACATTATTTACTTCTGCGGCTTGTTCGGCTGACAAGAGATGGCACTAGTGGTCTGTGGATCAGAGGCGGGGCTAGGTTCTACGACTTCTTGGGGCACACTTTAGGGCAGAAAAGAGGTTTTTTGGCTCCCCATTCCAAAATGCTTCGAATATGCAAAAACAAGTTAGATATTCGAAAATCGGAGGACCAAACGGATCGTTTGACGTATCTTGCGCGACTGAGAATTGATCGGTCTTCAAACTACTGAACAAAAACGAGGTGATTAGTAGCAAGTGCTGGTGACTGTACGTCGAGCACCGAACGTCAAGTCCAGTGGAGCGCCTGCACTTCCTCAGCAGATATACGAAAGGAGATGCTCACAGCGCCATCGCCGGATTCCTGCACCTGAGGACAAGTGACGCCTACGTGAAGGCCAAGGAGAAGCTCGTCGCTCGGTATGGGAACGACTTCCTCATCGCCAGCAGCTACCTGAAGCGCCTGAGGGAGTGGTCGGCAGTGAAGTCCGGGGACAGCAAAGGACTCCAGCGATTGGCAGACTTCTTGGAGCACTGTCACATGGCGTCTTCGGCCATCCCAGGTATGAGAGCGCTGGATGATCCTCACACGATCCAGATGGTACTGAAGAAGCTCCCTGTCTATATCGCGGACAGGTGGAAGCGCCTCGTCGACTCCAGCGTCTACGGACCGACGCCGCACTACCCAAGCTTCGCTGACTTCGTTCAGCTCGTCTCTACGGAGGGGCGTATCGCCTGTGGTCCGGTGAGCAGCGGCGCGCAGTCTGAAGAGAGCCCACCTGCAAGGAACATCCGTGGCAAGGCGCATGCGTTCACATCAAGTCACGAGAAGTGTGAAGCGTGTGGGCACCAAAGCGAGGAGCAACGGGCCACCCAGCAAGTCACGACCGCACGAGCAGTACGCCGCCCGTGCGTCATCTGTACCCAACCCCACGACGTGCACACATGCAAGAAGTTCATGGCCTTGCGCCTTGACGAGCGCAAAGAAGAGGTCATGAAGAAGAGGCTATGCAGAGGGTGCCTGAAGCCAGGACACATTTGGCGTGACTGTCGAAGAAGAGATAAGTGCGACAAGTGCCAGATGTCGCACCCAACGCTGCTGCACGATGACAAGCTCATGAAGACGACAGCGAGCGCATGCAGTCACGACAAGACAAGTAGCGGCAAGCAGCATGGCGGCGACACACAGGTGAAGGCATCTTCGCTGCGATCTACCGCTCAGAGCACCGGGGATGTCGGAGTGTCCAATTGCCACACTATGATAGTTCCCGTGAAGCTGTATCACGAAAATCAACCGGAGCAGCCCATCATCACCTACGCTCTGCTGGACCCGCAATCGGACGCAAGTTTCGTGACGGAGGCCCTCTGCGACGTCCTCCAGCCAGAGAGTACAGAAGTGGAGCTTCAGCTAAGCACATTGAACGGACGCAAAATCGTCAGGTGCTCGTCGGCGTCCGGACTGGTTGTGGAGAGCTCGGAAGGGGGACCGGCAGTGGACCTCCCTACGCTCTACTCACGTCACGAGATCCCAGCAGACCGAGAGCTGATACCCCGACGGGAAACGTGCCTCAAGTGGCCGCACCTTCGCCAGGTGGCAGAGAAGATGCCGGAATACCACGCAGAGGCAGAGATAGGACTCCTTCTGGGAGTCAACTGTCCGCGCATCATCAAGCCCAGAGAAGTTATTCCCGGCGAAGAGGACGATCCGTGGGCCGTGCGTACGCTTCTCGGATGGGGCATCGTGAGATGTGTCAGCGAGAGCCAGCCGACGGGATGCTTCTACGTCGGCACAGGTCAGGGAAAGAAGATGTGCCACTTCGCATACCGGACTCGAGTGAAGGATGTCAGCCTACGGCAGGTCCAACAGGTCTTCGACAGCGGCTTCTTCGACCAGAGACAAGAGAAGACAGTGTCGCAAGAAGATCAGCAGTTCATCAAGATGATGACCAGCGGCATGCACCAAGTGGAAGGAGGCCACTACGAAGCGCCTCTTCCGATGAAGGACGAGAAGACAATGCCAGACAATAGGGATCTCGCGGTCGCCAGACTGTCTCAGCTCAAGAGGAGGCTCCTTCGAGACGAGAAGCTGCGCGACGAGTACACAGCTTTCATGAGCGATCTTCTCTTGAAGGGATACGCTGAGCCGGTTCCGGACGACGGACAGATGGAAACGGACATGATCAACTATGTGCCACATCACGGAGTCTACCACGAGAAGAAGGGCAAGTTGAGAGTCGTGTTCGACTGCAGCGCGATGTGCAAGAACGACTGCCTGAATAGCCACCTCCTCCAGGGCCCAGACGTCAACAACGACCTCACTGGCATCTTGGTGCGGTTCAGAGAGGCCCCCGTGGCATTCAGTGGCGACATCGAGGGCATGTTCCACCAAGTGCGCGTCAACCCAGAGCATCGTGACCTTCTCCGGTTTCTCTGGTGGGACAACGGAGACCTCAACGAACAGCCTCGAGAGTACCGCATGTGCACTCACCTCTTCGGAGCCACCAGTTCTCCAGCGGTCGCTTTGTTTGCTCTGAAGAAGACGGCCGCCACGTACGGAGAGGAGTTCTCGCCCGAGGCCGCGTCCTTTGTGGAGCGGAACTTCTACATCGACGATGGAGTGGCTTCAACGAAGACTACGGAAGAGGCGGTGCAACTGATACAAGACGCGGCTGGTCTCTGCCTGAAGGGGGGTTTCAAACTCCACAAGTTTACCTCGAACGACAGGGACGTCTTGAAGACACTACCTGTGTACAGCTTGTCCAAGAGCTGTCAAGCTGCGCTGGACGAGGAGCTGCCTCTCCCGCGTGAACGCGTCCTGGGACTGAACTGGGACATGGATGACGACACGCTCTGCATCGACGTGACCCTGCCCTGCAAGCCGGCAACCAGAAGGGGTATATTGTCATCCGTGAGTACGATCTACGATCCTCTCGGGCTCATCTCTCCGTGCATTCTTGCGGCCAAGAACATCCTGAAACGGTTGTGCGTGGACAAGTACAGCTGGGACGACTTGATTCCGGAGGACATGGAGCGAGAATGGCGTCTCTGGAAAGAAGACATAGAGCGCCTGTCCACACTGAAGATCCCACGCTGCTACGTCACGACGGAACTCGGTGAAGTTGAGAGATATGAGGTCCACCACTTCTCGGACGCGAGCTACGATGGATGTGGGCAGTGCTCGTACCTCAGGACCATCTACAACAACGACAAGATCACCAGCATGTTGATAATGTCAAAGGCCAGAGTCACGCCTGTCAGAGCCGTGACGATCCCGCGACTGGAGCTGGTGGGCGCCCTGATGTCGGCGAAGGTGAGCTCTTTCCTCAGGAACGAGCTGGCGATTGGCGACTACCAGGAGTACTACTGGACTGACAGCCGTGCCGTGCTCGGCTACATACGGAACGAGACGAAGAGGTTCCACGTCTTCGTCGCCAACAGGGTCGAAGACATCAGGCAGCTCTCGGAACCGTCACAGTGGCGCTACATCGATTCGAAGAGTAACCCAGCGGATCTTAGTCCCGGGGAGCAAGCGCCAGTGAGCTGCTGACCAGCAGTCTGTGGTGGCATGGCCCATCCCTACTAACAGCGAGCATTGAACTCCCAGCCATGGAAGAAGAGTTCAACGTACAGAGCGACGACCCTGAAGTGAAGCGAGCTTCCTTCCAAGCCGCCATCTCGAAGCCACCAGAAGACGAGAAGAAGCTTCCAACCGACGGGCGACAGAGAGACCAGGGCGGCGACACAGAAGAAGATCGACAAGACGTTGCCGAATCAGATGATCAGCGCGATGAGCGATCACCGGCAGGACCCGTGCGAGGACGCGACCGACTACAGGGAAATGAAGACAACACACTCGCGAAGCGCCTGAGCTACTTCTCGAGCTGGCACAGGGCGAAGAAAGCTGTGGCTTCTTGCCGACGCTACACGGCCATCCTGGCAAGTAAAGCAAGCTCGAACAGAAGTGTGGCCGGCGCAAGAGTCTACACCCCAGTCGAGAGAATGACAGTGGATGAGCTGCTTCAAGCTGAGCAAGTGATTTTGAAGTCAGTCCAGAAGAGCGCCTTCGAAGAAGAGCTCACAGTGCTGAGGACGCAGCAAGAGAACAGAGACGACGAAGAACATGCAGACCTGGGAGAGGGAACCAAGAAACGCAGAAGAAAGAGTGACAGAAGGTGTCGGACTGTGAAGCGCAGTAGCCCGCTGTACAAGCTGGATCCCTTCCTCCGAGCTGACGGGCTAATCTGCGTCGGAGGACGAATGAAGAACAGCACTCTGCCGAAGGAAGAGGTCCATCCAGTGATACTTCCGAGGAAGAGCCACGTGACGGAACTCATCGTGCGAGAGTGTCACGAAAGGACGTGTCATGGCGGTCGCGGCTCGACGCTGAACGAGCTCCGCGCCTCTGGGTATTGGGTGATTGGTGGCCGTTCCGCAGTGAGCAGTTACATCTTCGACTGCGTCAAGTGCAAGAGACTCCGCGGAAGTCCGCTGACACAGAAGATGGCCGACCGGCCACCGGAGAGAACGGAGCCAGCCGAACCCTTCAGCCACTGTGCAGTCGACTGTTTCGGGCCTTTCTACGTGAAAGAGAAAAGAAGTGAGGTTAAGCGCTGGGGAATACTCTTCAGCTGTCTGGCGTCCCGCTCCATCCATCTAGAATCGGTCAACTCACTCTCTGCCGACTCTTTCCTGAACGCTGTCAGGCGGTTTGCTTGTCGGAGAGGACCCATTCGCAAGCTGTTCTGTGACAATGGGACGAATTTCGTGGGAGGTAAGAACATGCTGGAGGGGGCGCTGAAGGAGGAGGATCATGTCAAGATCAGAGGAGAGCTGCTCAAGAAGGACTGCGACTGGTTCGAGTTCCGGTTCAACGTTCCGATGGCAAGTTCCATGGGAGGGGCTTGGGAGCGTATGATCAGGAGCGTGAGGTCGGCGCTGACTCCGCTGATCATGGCTCATGGCCACACACTGGACGACGAGCTGTTCCGGACGTTGCTGACAGAGTGTGAAGCGATCGTCAACAGCCGTCCGATCTCGTACTTCAGCGGAGCGCCGGACGATACTCTCCTCCCCCTGAGCCCGAACCAGATACTAACACTAAAGAGTAGAGTAGCCGTGCCTTATCCCGGTAGCTTCTCCCAGACCGACCTGTACGTGCGTCAGCGCTGGAGGCGTGTCCAGTTTCTGGCGGACCAGTTCTGGCGACGATGGAGGCGTGAGTTCCTGCCGACCCTGCAGGAACGCCACAAGTGGGTGCAACGTCGCCGTAACCTGTAGCCCGGAGACGTCGTGGCCGTCGTCGACGACGACGAGCCGCGCTCACGGTGGCCGCTCGGCCGCATCGTGTGTGTGTACCCGAGCGCCGATGGACTGATCCGCAAAGTGTGCGTGCGAATCGGTTCCAGTGACTACGACCGGCCGGTGAATCGCCTGATTCTCCTGCTGCACGACCGGGAAGATTCCCAGACGGGGAGCCACGAGGCCCAGTGATCGATGCGCGTGAGAGACGCGCAGGTGTGAAAGTGAACGCTACCGACGCTCAGTGACGCGCGCGGGCGCGATTCGATATCCCGGAGGTCACGTTTGGACGAGTGCGCGCCGTTCGCGATCGAGGCGTTATAAGTCTGCGGTTTCGACTCGGTGATGAATGGTGTATCCGAGGTAGCAGGGTACATCCGTTCGTACGTTTCCGTGTGAATCGTCCGCGTTGCTGAGTGCCGTTGCCCCGCGGTGGCAACCGCCGACCACGTCAGATGGTGTATCTTTCTTGTGTTACCACCAGGTGATGCTGCTACAGAAGATTGTTTTTTGATTTCGTGAATGAGAGGATTGCAGGAAATTTGTGATCCACAAATTTGGGGAGCCATGTAACTGCGTAGCAGTTGTATCTGACTTTGGTTTCTCCTCATTTGCAGGTTCGCCAGCCATTGAATGAGTGCTAATTGAGCTGGGCGGCTATTTGTTTGTTTCTTTGTTGCGCATTGAGCGACTGGAAGGAGTGACTGTGAAGACAGCACACTGTTGTCACTCGAGGTACCTGGAAAGAGTACGTTTCTATTTTTCTCTAGTCATTTCCGTTGTATCGTTCGTCGCGATTTGGCTTCACCATGTGTTAATAATTTTTTTCGCGCTATAATTCTGTTACAAAGTACAAGCGTACTGGTTTCGATTATTTATCATGCGTTTACCAAAGTTTCGACTGAACGTTCGCCACATTTTCATGTGTCACATTTAACGCGAAGTGTGTATGTGAGTGTGAATGTGTGCGCTTTATTGCTGAGAGAGCATTATTTTAACCCATTTTCTCAATGTGTGATTGACAGGTTTTTACGGTGACCGTGGTGTTACCAACCCAAGGTTCTCTGTCATTACCCCACATTACTGGATCCTAATACATGTGCCCTATCCCAATGCATCCAGTAGTTTGAGTTTGATTGACGGTGGTGGCGGAGGCCGCATCAGTCACATAACCTTCCATACCTATGTGACTGCGGCTGTGACTTAAAAGTGTGGCTGCGGATTTGATGGATTTTTAGGTGATTCCGACTCCGACTCCGACTCCGGCTTCAAAAATCTACTCCCAGATTTGACTCCGGACATTGGTCATTAACCCGCGCCCCACTGCAGGGGGGGGGGGGGAGGGGCTAATCATAGCCCCCTCTCGTTTTTCTGCAATAACTTCTAAACCACTTTACGTATCGCCGCCAAACTTCCAGTACCTTCGGCTGCATCAATTTGACCTATCATCTTTCCTATATCACCTTGTGGTCAAAATTTGAACTTCGTATCTCTGGTGAAAGTTAGGTTAAGGTTAGGTCAAATTTTAAAATTGATATATTTGCATAAAATGGGTATCGATTCGATGCAGCTCGTCACGGGGAGTCTAATGGTGGTCTTTGTTTTTCCCTACATGGTCTAGAATTGCCAAAAAATGAGTTGAAAATTTGACGTCATGATTTTTGAAGTTTTTTTTCGCTATAACTTGGCCAAAAAAGAGATATTGATCTGAAATTTGGTATGTAGATAGTAGACAGTAGGCACTATCATATATATTCCGGCTTTTTCGAAACTAAAAAAAATGATTTTTTGGCAAATATATAAAAAAACACTGTTTGATTTTTGGGGTCAAAATTCAAAAAGTTCCAAAATCCGAGATAACAGTTTTGCAGCCCTGTCAATTCTGCACCTTTTACGTCGGGATCAATTTTCTGTATCTTCAAAGTTGTAGGCCTGACAGCTCTTCTCGCGAAGCTCTTTTTTCGGTCGAAAATGGCAGAACATGACGTCATTCTGACGTCATTTGCGGCCAGCCTATCATAGCCTCTGGAAACATTTGTTGGTCACAATGTGTAAAATTAAAACCCGGAGGGGTTCTGAAAGTTTGGTGGCGATATCTGCAGCCATTTAGGAGATATCCACGGAAAAGGACAGGGGAACCGTTTCGGCCCCCCTACGGGGCGCAGGTTAATACTTTTTCGAACGCCGTTATTTCGCTCGTCTTGTCGCTACGTGCTCTGGGAGCCGAGCTAAATGGGGGTGGTGGCCGGTAGGGGAGCTTGTAGGTAATAGCCGTTTTCACGACGGGCTATCCGGCCAGTGCACCTGATTTGACCAAATCTGCACCTAATCTCTTTTACAGCAAATATCTTTATTACGGAGCGAGCGAAGCGAGCGTAGTCTTTCCTTAAATTAACGGAAATTTCTGAGTATGAGCGGCCGGCCGGCCGGCCGTGGTCACGCTTTTGCGACGCTTATATCTCAGCAACCACTTGACCGATTTACACGCGGTAATTTTTGTAGGGTAGCTTCATTCCTTCTACCAAGTATTGGACTATTCCCGATGCATGTGGGTGACCCCTTATGCACGTGCCACGTGCAAAACGAAGAGGTGTCACTTTTGTAATTGTTGCAATATCTCGGTAACTACTTGGCCGATTGCGCTGAAAGTTGGCATGTAGCTAGGCACCCACTAGGCAATGCATATCCATGTGCCAGAGTTGGGGTGCTGCTGCACGTGCGCACGTGCAGGGGTCGATTCCAGATCTCGAGAACGGCTGGACTGATGGCGCTCAAATTTGGTACATGGTTAGGGACCGGTTAGTAGGGTGCAGTGTAAAAGTCAGTTGGGACCCATTTTGCACGTGCGCACGTGCAGGGTGCCGCTTCCAGATCTCGAGAACGGCTGGGCCGATTGTGCCCAAATTTGGCACATCGCTAGAGACCGGTTAGTAGGGTGCCGTGCACAAGTCAGCTGGAGGTACCCCCTCGAAATTTCGCACGTGCAAGGCTCACCCTCTCGCTCGCTCCGTTAGTCGCCCCAAAAGGCGTTATACTGGTTATATAAATTCATTTCAGTGTTTTAATCGACGATGCTCTCTGATAATACGACAAAGCAGGCATATAAGCAATTAAAGTAACCCTAGCTGATAGCTACTCAGAGACACACTGAACCTGATTTGACCAAATCTGCACCTGATCTGCACCAGATGTGCACCAAATATGTACCAGATGGCCGTCGTGAAAACGGCTAATACTGCGCCATGCAAA